AAATTGCATAGAAAGTGACACTTTCTCCTTCATTTTCCCAGAAAAACAAAAACGAGAGCGAAAGAACCTTGTGGTGTCTGTTCAATGTTCATGATCTTCATAGGTAAATGTCACCGCCTTAAGGAATGAAGTAATTTTTAAAACACCAAAATTTTTCTTCTCTTTATGGGTTTACTCGGAGTCAATTCGAGTCTATCGAAGCAAAAATCCAACGATTTGTCTTTATTCATCTTCTTCCTTTTGCTTACTCTCTTTTATTTATTTTTGTTTAAATTTTAAAAATTTGATCGGTTGTTTTACTCCTCGAAATTTGTCATTTTCCATACTTTGTTGTCTATTTTCAGATGTTAAAATCCTTTGCATGTTAATGAAAAAGATATTTCGCCTTCATAAGTTTTGCATGCAATCTAAAATGTTAGTTGATATAGTTTTGAAAATAAAACGGAAGATAAAAGCTCATTTCTCTATCTTCTTGCTCTTGCTACTACTAATGTTTATGTATCCTACTTTTTGAGTAACAAGATGTTTTTTTTTTAATCTTTTCGTTGTGTTTAAAATTATCTCGTAAGGAACCATTAGAAGCTGGATATATATAGCTTAATTCTAAATATGTCTAGAAATATCGAAGCATGGTATGATGCCTTTTAGATATGGAATATTTTAGGAAGGTTAAAAATAGTGATCATAAACCTTGAAATTCTAAATCAGTATCAAAGCATGAACAGAAAAGTATACTTGTTGAAGATCTTAAAGCTAGTTTCAGTAGTGATCTTGCATGCTAGAGGCCTTATGCTACAACTGAGGATTATGTATCGTTTGAATGTTGTTATGAAATGTGCTTTAAACGAAGACACAAGGTCTTTTGGATATAAATGATTCCACAAGGCATGTGGATATATGATACATTCTTAAAATCTTCCAACAATATCCTCCAAAATTCTGGAATTGTTTGACATTCAAAGTGTAATGCAGGATATTTGAAGGCCGAAAATGATCCCAAAAATGACAGAGATATTTAGTTATGCTTGGAATTCAAACGCTGGACCGAGTAAATCAAACACTCTAAACCAAAACATGGTTGCTTTAAGACCGAAGAAGCGTAAAGGTTCAATCTTTTTACAATCACCATGGCACAAAGTCTATCTACAAGATTCAGAATTATGTCACAGCATCAGGTCATAAATATTCATAAATATATCTAATACAACAATCTAGATGGAAGTATGTTTTTCGCCGAATTTGACGTTTTAATCTTTTGCTCTCTATAGTATTTCGGAACAAGAATGGACCCTTGCGACAAACACGCTATGTGAGGAGGTACCAATACTCATATCTTTATCACTTTTCCTTTACTTATTTCTGTCTCCATTTCCAAATAAAGAGATTGTTGGTACTGTCTTTGGATAAGGTCGATCCAAATGAGGTGATATCTCCTTCAAAGAGGAGACTTGTTGTATCCATAAATCTTATGCGACAACTTCTCCAACCGGCACCACCATTGGTTTTCTCAGGCAACAATACATGTTTCAGCTATGAGATCATGCTTTACTTTGTGCCGAGAATCGCCCTCGGTGATGCATGTTCTCTCAAATGCCACTCCGATTTGGATAAGAGCACAAAGTGAGTTTTTTTTTTTTTATCAAAGTGAGTTTCTTATGAAATGAAA